CAAGAAGTCCCTGAGCCAGGCAGAGTGAGGGCAGCCATGTAACAAGTGTTTGTAAGTATCTCTGAGCCACCAGAGATAAACAAAAGGAAAGGGAGGACGGCCTTCACCACCACAGGTGAAGTAAGTGGCTTCTGTACCTGGGCATGATGTGGGTAGGTACACTGTGAGAGGAGGCCATGGGGGCAGATCCAGAGCTGTCCAGCTGTGCTGTCACAGGAGATCAGGCCAAGTGCGAGTTCTGGGATAAAGGCCACTTGCCCCAGTCACCTACCTCTTCGTCTTCCAGCCTCCTTCACATCAACATTGACACAGACATGGGACACTTATCTGCAGATTTGTGCTGAACCACCCTTTGCTCTCAGAAACTGAAAGACATGCAAGGCGGGGACCAATTATACTCTAGAAGGTGTTGCTTTTGCTCACTAACAGCAGATCCTCTGTGAAAACTTGAGTTCAAGGATAAAGAAAAACACCACCCTTGTCCACATAATGTTTTCAGCCATAAAGACCAAATGAGTAGTGCTGTACTCAGCAAATTAATTCGATATCAGACAGGTCTCACTTTTTCTTTCATTTGTTGTTCCTAATCTTTATAGGTACATAAAATGATATACATGCAAATGACAGGAAAGTAGAACTGAAAACTTTGAGGAGCAAAGGGTACTGATGGGAGCGGCAGGGCAGAGACAGGGGAGGAGGTGGGGGTGGAAAGTAGATACTCAGAGTACAGAACATGCTGGTGCGCTGAATGCCTTAAGAAACTCTGTAAAAGAAATAGAATAATAAAACATCGGCTTAAGCTTTTTGATCACTTGCAGATGGACAGTTTGGCATTTTTGCTAACAATTTATGCCAACCGTGCATCTGAATAACAGATATGAACTCTGTTTGTAAGGCTATGGAAACATCTATTTCTTCAGTATGAAGGCATCAGGCATTTACCCTATTCATTATGTGGTTTGCAGAAAGTCTTTTCTGGATAAAAATCTCTCTAACAGGCATGCAACAAACCCTGCCGGTTCTCCATTCTGTCCAATGCCTGGAGGAGCCTCTCCCAGGCACTCACTTTTCACCTTGAGAAGTACAAAGGATCACACGAGACAGACTTCCATTCATAAGTGTGTGTGCAAGTGCACACAGACACACACAAGCACACACATGCACGCACACATACACCACATCATAGCCTATCTTCGTTCCTAAGCTGGAGAATGTTTAGTAGACTTCTAATTTATTATTTGATCAGTCAACTCATCCCAGCCATTCAAACTGATTGTGTTTAAATCTTTATAAAAAGTCTTAATTTATATATAAGAACAGGGAGCCCAAAATAAAGAAACTTCTTTCCATGCCATGCTCTCACTGAGATTTCTGAGAGGATCACGTAATTGCTACTTGATCAGAATGTTCCTCAGGAATACACCTCAGACATTGGCTCGCCTCCACCTCTTCCATAATTGCAGTGTAATTTTTTTACAGGTATATTTTTGATGTTTCCAGTAACAGATGTTTTTAAATTATCACATTTTCTGTATCTGTGTGTTGCCAGTGGTCAGTACAAAATGTGCCCTTGATGTAAAGCTGGATTTCTTTTTAAGAGTAAGTATAATTTTAATCAAAATCAGGCTGCTGACTGATTTTGCTAACCCCAAAGATTTCAACAGAGGTTATTGTAGAGGATTTTTTTTCTCATGTGGGGCCAGAAGAATAACAAACCACAGAGATGACTGCAAGATCCACGAAGTTATGTGGACAGGAAATGTCCATTAGAGGTAGTAAGACATTGACATGAAGCAAAAGTGGAATGCTGGGGGCCTACGAACACTATGGGGAAAGGGAACAGTAAAAACTTTCCTTTGGAAAGAGCTGACCCCCTGAGAGGGTTGACATCCTCATAGGAGTGGTCAGAATTTAAGGCCAGCCTGGGATACATAGTAAGTTCCAGACCTTGAAATACAACATGAGATCTTGTCTATATATATACATATAATCAATCAGCCAATCCACGGGGAAGTGATGTTGGTGTTTTCTGTGGTTTTCATGAGAGTAGAAAGGTTGATTGATTGGCAGTTCAAAGCCAGTTTCCCCATTTATCATTTAATGTTGGTAAGATAGAATATTGACCAAAAATCACAGTCATATATTAATAAATTAACTGTGTTTTATTTTATAACACAATGGATAGTTTACATGGTTGAGTTTAGACAGTAGATTCATTCATGTTGATGTACATAGAAGTCCTTCATGGTAGTAGATGGGCTTTGTGCAAGGTTCTGAACTAGTCTCCCCAACATTTCTATGACCAGAAAAATGACCAGATTTCTGAAACTGTTCCTTTAAAAAGACAACACAGGCAGGGCACACCTTTAATCCCAGCACTCAGAGACAGAGGAAGGCAGATCTCTTTGAGTTCAAGGCCAGCCTGGTCTACAAAGCAAGTTCAAGGCCAGCCAAGGCTGCATAGTGAGACACTGTCTCAAAAAACAAAGCATAAAAAAGACAATATATGCACAATGAAAAGAAATTTTTTTTAATGTGATAATGGAGTGCTGGAGAGATGGTTCTATATTTAAGAAAATCTGTCGTTCTTACAAAGGGCCCATGTTTGGTTCCCAGCATTCACATGGTGTCTCACAACCATCCATAACTCCAGTTCTAGGGAATCTGATGCCTTCTTCTAACCTCCATGGCTACCAGGCACACACATGGCACACCTACATACATACAGGTGAAATATTCACACACATAAAATAAAATAATCTAAAAAAAAAAATTAAAGTGTGATATTGGCTGCTTCAACCCTGCAACACAGTTGATGAAGGGAACTGAGGATTGGGCTAAATGTCAATCCCCTTAAGCACACCTCTGTACAATCTGGGGACACTGCTGTTTTCCTTGGTGCAGTCCCCTGTCAGAGAAGAAAGGCAGCCTCATCAGAGTGCTTGTGTTGGAAGAGTCCAATAGTCTGCTGCAGCTCAGGCTTCCTGCTCAGGGGGCCTGTCTTCAGAATCACACACCCAACCACTTTGCCTAGTGAAAGCTGAGTATAAACGGTGCCCTGTGAAATCATTAACACCTGCGTCCTCTAGGTCACTTCACATTATAGCCCATGCTGTTTAATGCTTCATTTAGGATACTCTGCTCACTGATTCCAGTCCCTTGGAAAACAGTTTCTTTAACTTGATTTTGTCTTAGCACATAGCTCACTCTCCCTCGGGAGGGATAATTGCCCATCTACTGGCCCTCTTCCTCTTACATGCTGTCTCCACGTTCTTCAAATTCAGATCCCCTGCTTTTTACTGATCTCTTTCCAGAAAAATAAGCAAATCCCCTCTCCATTTCCATAAAATAGTGTTGAAATGACCTCTCACCCCCACCACACATCCTACAGTAAATAAAACATTTCCCGTTGTGTGTTGGCATGTCCACATTTGCCCACAGTCCACATTTGCTGTATCTTGGGCTCTGGTTAGCACTTCCAGTAATCATTTATATTTTTATGTACTAACTGACCTACCCCACAAGTGTTTGGATGTACCCAGATGCTTAAAACCTTACGATTTACAAAAATACAACTGTCCCTCCAGCAAGACACACTTTTCTCGCCTTTCTAAAACACATTTCTCAGGACAGCTGTTCACTGATGTCCCTGCCTGGGGTTCCTACCACTCAGTCCCTCCTCCACAGTCACCCTGCCTACGACAAGGCCACCACCCCGCAGAGAAACAGCAGCAGTGTCTGTTCTGAGGTGCTTAATGAAAACTCCACCCTTCTGCCAGCCCACAGCCACTCCCACCCCCACCAGGAGTCTGTGCAGGAATTGCAGGA